GTTTTGTATGATCAGTCTGCATATGTCACTCAGGACACTACACATGCGCATTGGTGAACTGGGCGTGGCCAGACAAACTTTAAGCCAAAAATACAGCCAAGTTATTAGAGTTTTCAGAAAAGTTCAAAATGCATTTTTTTCTAAATAGCTTAATTTACCACACGGAAATCATTACGTCAAAGTTAAATCGTCGCCAGAGGAGGTGAAGGGAAAGCCGTGCGCGAGAGCTCTCTCCGAAGATGAAGAGTCGATCAGCACTCTTCGCAGACGTTGGGAAATGTTACGTTACAAAATTGTAATTACACCCATATCGATTGGATATCGCTCGTTTTTCATACCTCGATCGTCGAACTCCTTATTATTACAGCGGCGATGCTTTCGGATGATTGATCTGCCATAGATCACGACCGCCAAACAGCAAACAACCGAGCTGGAGACCAATCAAAGCCTCGTGGTCATGAACGTGGACTTGAATCAAATTTACTCACTTTCTTGCAATTTGAGGTTGGAAATGTTAGAACGCTATTTAAAACCGGCGCCATCTATGTACAAATTACTGCATTATCGAATGCATGTTCCCATCGTGTACGTCGTGCTCATCAAAAATATAAGATTACCAATAATATTGATATCACTACAAAAAAAGAGTGAAATTATTTCGATTCGAAGATGATTGTGAATGTAGGCATATAAAATTGCAAAACGAACATCTAAATGTTTCATTTTCCTGTTTTTGCGCGGCGATCGAAGATTATTATGTGTATCGGTGCGTAATTTGTAAAATCCGAATCAGAACATGATTCGAAATAATTCGCATCGGCGTAATTGCAATTTGTACAGTTTTCAATCAGTTTCGTACCTTCGGCGGCGAAGAAAAACGAGCGACGCGCGCACCGCCGACGGACGCGAAGGATAATGGTGTGATTTATTTTCGCGCAGAAATCAAAGCGCATTAAGCCCCGAGTGCATCATGCGCGCGCACACACCACCGCAGCATCGGCAGCTCACCATTCGTAATTATTGATGGTAAACGTAATCTCGATCGTGATCGGAAATCCATTTCGTTTTTTTCCTCTATCGCACCGATATCGATTTCAAAAGCAAATCAAAACAACGAAAATTATTAAAATAATCATCAATCCATTGCAACAAAAGCGAAAAGGCTTTTTATTGTTCATACCTACACTTTTATTTCGGCCAATTTAATTTCACGATGAAAAATTGTGGGAAAGTGTGGGTCCAGATTGTTTTTCGCAGTAGTTGAACTGCTTTGAATTAAATAAATTTTATTTGCACATTCATAAAATGCAACTCAACGACGCGTAATGTTTTTAATGATTTTCATTGATTCAAGCGCGCTTTTGATTGTGGGAACAGGAAACTTTGTAGTTTATGCCACGCCCATACAAATGACGTATACATGAGGGCGTGTCCTATAAAAGTTTAAACTTATATTGTTCCAAAACTACTAACACTATCGAGAAAATAAAAAAAAGCGGAACAATTTCGATAAAATTTCTGTAATTTAGTTTTGAACTTGTTTTTTTTTTTTGCGAAAAAAATATGAACGTGTGTGGAATTGGGGTGGTGGTAGTGTTGGCAAGACGTGTGTATTTTATTTTATACGACGCGGGCGCCCAAGGAAGAGGGCGGCAAGTGTAAATGACATCATTATAACTGCAAAGTGGTCTCTCGCGCGTCTCCACGGTAACGCCGCCGGTTAAGGGGCGGTGGTGCGGGCGGGTTTCGCTCTCTCGCGCGCGCTAATGGCATACATGACAAGGGGACGGATCGATTTTTTAAATTTACTTCCGAATAAACAGCCCCGACTCAGAGACGCATGTGTGGAAGAGATAAAGATGAAAATCGCCGCGCTTAAAAAAAATCAATTTCTCGTTTTAAATAATTGATTATTTTTAAATACTCACCGTGGGTGCATGCACGTATCAGTAAAGGTAGCATCCATTGTTTCGAATTGTTAAACACATTGTTAAGATGCAATTTCACGCTATAAACAACCAGGCACACAATAACCGCGCGCGGCCAGCGCGAAAATATCAAATATATAAAATAAGCTCGAAAACATGCTGCAACGGCGAGAATATGTGCACCTGTGTGCGTTATTCACTTACGAAACAATAATAAAATCTATTGAATAGAAAAGACCTAGCGATATATGTATTTATGCATTGTGTTCGTCGCGAAATATTATAAATCACTTTAATAATGTGACTACGGCCACCACTTGCCAATATTTATCGTTTTACTTTTACACCCAAGCCAGGAGATAAGTAAAAGTTAACTAAAATCGAAACTTTTTGATTTTTTTAAATATCTTTATTAGTTTAAGAGTAATTTGAATTTAAAAATATGTAAGTTCCGCCTTTAAGTGTCATACGCATGCGCGATAGTCAGCAATAGCAGGCGTGGCTTGTAAAAGTTTAAATTTAAATTACATCAAAACTACTAAAGATATCGAAACAGAATAAAAGCTATATTATATAAAATGGCGTCGGGAATAAAATTGTCATCAAAAATTTCATTCACACAGCGTAATGGTTTCGTAACGATTCGCAACAATTGTTTGCAATGTCATAGTTGTCATTAGTCGACGACAACACCACAAAAAGCTCGCCGGACACAAAAGCTCATCACACACATACACAAAGCAAGCGAACGCAAAAAAGCGAAGAGTCAACTGAAGAATGCAAACATGTGCAGATAGTAGATACTCGTAAAAGGTGGAAGGTAGAATCAAAGTCCTGTGTGACGACGACTGACGACTTCTTGTCGTTGCTCTGAGCACACTATGCGCGCGCTCGGCGTTGTGTTATTATTATTAAATAACATTTTATAATGCGCGCGGTGCGGCGCACATCCGACGACGAGAGCGGAGATGATTCTTAATAACGTCCATCACACACATCAAACACGTGCTGCGACGTCAGGCGAACGCCATCAACTTCAACACTTGTACATTTCAACTCAGTAATAATATACAGGGTGTTACATAAGAAATAACACATAAAATATTAATCACATAGATTTATTAATTTAAAAAATATATTTAACAGATATTTATTATAGAAAAACTTAGTTTTGCTTTGTTTTCTTCAAGTGGAAAAGATGAAAGAGTCTGACGAGTGGCGTATAACAATGTTTGACTTATGATTCATGATGAATAAGTATGAGAAGTTGTGAGGCTTCATTATGAGACATGTTTCAACTCGTTTTCGAGTGGAGTAACATAGTAAAAACCAGTAGCAGTCGACGTTAATTTGAAAGAATATTTTGTTATTACACAGTTTAAAAATGAATTATTTTTTTCTATTTTTTTAATGTAAAAACGGTAATTTTTGGATAAAAGTAAAAATTTTTGTGGGTAAAATTAACTTTCTGGCAATAACTGAGTAATGCAGCCCCTTCTAACAATGAAATAACACCGGTACTCGAAGTAATAGAAACGAATTTATCATAATGATAATTGAAGCCGCGTACAAACGCGTTGCATATTAAATCTTGGAGTGTGTTGTAATCGTGGCGCGTAATGGCGGTAGCAGTTGCGTCTAATAGCACGGCGTAACTATCTGATATCTCGTAGGAATTAGATTTCGATGAGGTGGACTTGGCCGGATCGCAGTTACGGAATTAGAGAATTAGACTCGCACACACGCGCGCGTTTACCTGTAATAATAAGGCGGTGCACTCATTTCCATAATTGAGATATTACACATGAATAAAATAAAACGTATTACCGGATTACTTAATTTGCCTTGCCATAGTCAAATTACATACGTACGTATAAATAAATTTTGGTTATGCTTTTATTATTATTTTTAGAGAAAATATTTTCGGTTAAATTTTAACTTCTTGGCTCAGATTTCCAATTAAAAAACCTCATTTATGCACGCGCGCGCTCGCGCACCCGAAATTACAAGCAATTTAAATGAAGGAAAAAATCCCCCTGATTGCGTTTTCTTGCGCGTCGGGATAAATCCCGCGCGCGCCCTTGCGATTTCCGCCCTTAAGTGTCCGCTAATTCGAGACGATTTTCCACTATCGAGCGCCCGACGCGCATTTTTATTTGCCGCCCTCGCTGCCGTGATGATTTTTTTCTTCTTTAAAGCATCGCGTTCTAATAAAGTATCATGCGCACGAATAATTTTTATACGAATTGCCGCCGGTATACGGCGGGATGGGACGGCGTGTGGAAAAGAAACACTGCGAGAAATGATGATTCGCGTGTTAAATGTGCGCATTTATACGTTGGATTTAATTTCGTCGACTTAATTGGATTTTTGTTTGTTCATTCTTGACGATTCGCCACGTTTGCATCATTATACTGATATTTTCCGAAAAATACCGATCAAAATTATTTTAAATCTCCAAGGCAGGGATTTTTTTCTGGAGTTTCTAACAGGCTGTATGTGAATTACACCTTGCAACTTTACAATACTACAAATTACGATTGCAATCCCATCGCGGAAAATGGGAAAACGTGTGCGCAGGGAGCAAATTAGAAAATGAAAATTGAAATTACGTCCTACACTCTCGCACGCGGCCAACTAACTTGGAAATTACTTTTCGCAGTTCGTGTCCTGTAACTTTTATACATTAAAAAATTAATTTACACTGTGTTACACGTAGTCGCAAAACTAATTTTTAAGTTTAAAGTTATTAATTTATTTTTAGAAAAGTATCACTATAAATCTAACCTAATCTCACCCTAACCTCACTTTTTTTCACAAGTTTTTATCAATTTTAACAAATATCTAATTATTTTGAGGAAATATTAACGTGAAACTATAAAATAATCAAAGATTAAACATTATTACATCTATTTCTATAAAAAATCTGGTTTAATTTGCTTTTTTCAATCGATTTTTGCATAAATTTCTTTCCGAAACATTTGAAATTCGTGCTTAACGCTTCGTGCGAGAGTTCGTTGAACGTCGGCCCGACCCGAAGGATGCGCATGTGCGCGGCCCGGCGCTCGTCCGCTCGTCAGCGCGCCCGCTCCGATCATCTGTTCCTGCTGCCCATATACAAACACGCCAAAATTCATTAAATTGCGCCGTATCAAAGCCTAAATTCAAGTGATAAGTGCTACAAATACACCGTGTGTTCAAGTCGCCCTCGACACGACCACTCTACATTTACTACACAGCACGCGTAACGTATAAAATCACAAACTCGCGAACGTAAACATCGAACATAACCTCGACAACATTGACCGACGAGACTGACTCGAGCCTCAAGCAAAGCAGAACACAAACACACAGCGCGAATGTAAAACAAAACACTGCGGCGGCGTAACTTGAAGGTTAGGAAAAACGTTAAAATAAAACTCACGTTTTCGGAAACGTTAAAAATCGACATTGAACGTACACGATTTACAACGTTTAGATGCAGCAAGTAGTTTTACTTCCGTGCTTGCGTCACGTTTAATTAACTGTAGGCGAACAATTAAACGTGTTTACACAACGGTATCGTGCACGACAAACGACACAGTCATTAATCGCGTTCCTGTTTGAGAATGTTGGAGAGTGGTTCATGTTCAGGCAGTGCTAACATTTGTAGCAAGATTGAAGTCGAGCAGTTTTGCTATAAAGACGAGTCACCTTTAGCGATGGGTAATATCGGGACGGCTTATAGTGCATTTAAACCGCGAGCGGGCAGTTTGGCGAGGGTTTTGCTTGAGAAACAACGGGCCGATCAGTATTTGAGTAGTTATGATAAGAATCAGGTTAGTAATCAACGCATTTTACTATTATTCTTTATTTAAATCAATAAATATAAACTGTGGGCAGCCATCTTGATTTTTTGGGTAGCTGTGTTTTGCACCTAACCTATAAACATGATTAAATTAGTATTAAATGTTTATCTTAATTGAAATAATGCTTTTATTGGTCTTTTCTATCTTATCTAATCAGTTGTGTATTTATTCTCGTATCAGCCACCTGATATCACTCGGATATTAATTGCGTTATTTTCTTCGGTTTGTTGCGCTCGTTTCGTGTCAGTTGATGTATGATTGAAGCCGCGTAATGAACTCGAATGTGCATTCCCGGAGAACGGTAATCGATAGCCGCGTCATTGTCGGGGTGAGTGATTAATAATTAACGAAGGGATGTCGCGACTATTATTACCTTTCAATACAATACAACACAAAATAATTTTAGTGTTTAGATCGTTTTTTTTGGTATAAAATTGCGATATTTTTGTGCGAAAAACAATTTTTACAATCTCGGGGCGAATAATGATGCCTGAGCTGCATCGGAAAAGTTATGATGTAAGGAGCGCAAGGTTGTTAGTGTTTTACCCCTTATTATCTGCCGGAATGATTGTTCATGAATAATCGAAAGCTGTGCAAACTCAATTATCGTCGATACGGTGCCTTGGAGTGTGGAGAGTAGCCGAGTACCGAGTTCCTTCAGTCCTCATAACTTTTATGCGCCTCTTCCTCTTCGTCGGCTCCTCCCTGCACGTAGCCAGTGCACGCTAGACTGCTGGCGCATTATCATCCACTCATCATTAACAATATACGAATTATCTACTCAATAATGAATCATTATTTGCCCGCTGAATTATTCAGCCATGTCGGTAGGTAGCGGGGAAAATGGGAAATAAGGAATGAAAAGTCCGGTAACAATAATAAAAATCTTCCTAATTGGCAAAGAAAAAGAAAGAAAAGTGAAATACTTTGTATTTTATCCACTAGGCAGTAGAGTATCATTAATATTTAGCTTCTTGTTGTGTAAATCTTACATTATCTGCGATTTTATGCATTCCGAAAGAGAGTTTATGAGTTTGTGTTGTTTGTAGGTAAATTAATTCATATTTTCAAGAGGGAGGTCTATAATTATCCAAGCAATTAATTAAAATAATAGCAACTCAATGACTTTTGAAAGTCGTGCAGTTTGCAGGCCTGATATCGCCTGATATTTGCAATTATAATCATAATTTCCAGCCAGACTTACCTAAAACCCACTTTGGTGGGTATTTCCATCACTCTTGGCGGCTCGCTTCCTTCGCGTCGGTTCATTATACAGTATTTGCTTTGTGTTTCCACACATATATTTTCCATTTCGTGCTTTTAGCCTTGCGGTTGAGGTTGAGTTTTCCTACTTCTTCGTCCTTCCTTATCCGTGAAGATAATGAGGGGCGATATTTGTATTGTCGGACGATGCCGGCGACGACGGTGTAAGTAAATAGTGGTTCGTGTGGATAATTGCGTCTGTTATTATCGTGGAAAACGTATCGATAAAATAACACCGTTCCGCCACGCCGACGTGCACATTCATGTAATATCGACGTGTATATACGCCGCAACGGATTTTCTTCGCCCACAGACGAAAAATTAAAACTTATCTGCGTATATCACTGAGTCATATTCGCGTAATGTATTCAGGTTAATGAATTTTATTGGTGCGAAAGTATAAAATTTGAGTTTAATGGCATCGCCTATTGTTTAGTGATTGTTTTGTTTCGGCATCATGCTTGGAAGGAAGTTGTGATGTTTTGATGTCCGCTTTTGTTGTAACAACCTCACAATGACACGCCACCTTTTTGTCTTTTTTATTAGCGTAATTATTATTTGCCGCCGCGTTAGTTTCCACATATTATGACGTTCTCCCAACGCGGTGAAAGTGTCGTTTTAATCTATTTTTCTATAATTTACGCGGCGCACAACAATGCTACACATTATGCTCAATTTCATGATTTCATTAGCGCTCATTAAATTTCATTACATGTCAAACACATGCGCGGCGCGGAAATCGTAACAAAGGCCTTTTTATTTTTCAATCTTCTTCGTCACTTTTTTCCTCCTCCTTGTTTGTATGTTGTGTAGATATGTTTGGAAATGAAATTTCTTTTTCAAGCAACATGCAAAAAAATATATAAAAAAATAAAATACGTGTGTACGAATTTTGTGTGCTGTGTTTATAAAATATAAAAATTACATTTTTGGGGCGCCACTGTGTGGGTGTGTATGTATGTGAGGTTATTCCTTCCAATTTTTCTTCTTCGCGCTGCTCGCAGCCATCTTGCGCCCGGCGTTTTCGTTCGCTTATATGATGATGAATGCCCCTATCGCATACACAATGTATACACACATATATGTACACATACAGTATGTTTGTGAAAACTCATCATTTCGGCGTGCAATTTTCGCGCTCGAAGAGAAATTACTCGCAGTTTTCAGCCGGAGCATATTTTGCTGGATGCGGGGCGTGTTGTATGCGCACGTTAGACGTATTATGTTTTTTTTCGGGTGTTTTCTGGAGGGTCGGCGGGGGGTTGGCTAAAAGGGAAGGTACGTAACCGGAGGTTAGCGCACCTTTGGGACCGCTCGTAAAACACATCTCGTGACAAACTGCTTCTGCACAAACACACACACACGCAGCCACACATCGGTATCTTGAATTCTGGCCAGGACGAGACATTGGTCTTCTCCTGCCTGGAGAGTGAGAAGGGTGATGGGTTGGTGTGAGGCGTGTGGACGCGTTTTTAAGAGCGCGTGTGTTGTATCGAATGCCGGGTGGCGCGCTGCTCGGCCGAAGGGTAGTTAACTCGCAGCAGGACGAGCGGGAGACCTTTTCTTTTGGTTCGTGTCCTTGCGCGCGCCTGCATATATTAAACAGGAAGCAAGCCAGCGGTCCAGGGTGGTTGGTGGTGGTTGGCAGCCGACGCTAACGGGTTGGGCTGAATTCAGAGAGCTGGAGGAAAAAAAAAGTAGCTGGAAAAGTGTTTAACATGCACGGGCACGAGCACGACGTGTGCGCTGTGCTCTCCACTCTCGTCCTTCATCATTGTGTCTTCTCACTAGTGTGTAGTGTGTACTTTCGTAGGTTATGTGCCCAGAATTTGGCCTTAACTTTTTGCGCCGCAAATTGTTTTTGTTTTCTGTAGCAGCATGCTGCCTTTTTTGCGTTTGTGTTTTATTATTTTGTTTTGTTCGCAGCAAAAGTCCTGAAAATCGCGTATCGGTTTTGAATATATTCGTAATAAACATAAACCAAAAATAATTGGCGTATTGTGAGGGCACATTAAGTTTTTTTATTTGTGTGTGTGTGTGCTTTGTTTCGTTTCTTCATTTGTGCATGCGCCTTTTGCAGACGCTGGTTATTTTATTGGCATTGAGAAAGAGATGAAGAAGCGGAGCAAACCTGGGCCGAGAATAAAGCATAATAATGCGCGGATGCGAGCGTGCTGCTGGTGGAGAGAGCAATCTGATTTCGTCAAAAATCTAAATCACAAATCACACAAAGGGAGTTTTAGTTAACTTTGTGAGGTATGCGATTATCAACTTTTGCAATATTAAATTTAGTTAAATCCATTGTGAGAAATGTTCGTACGAAATGCAGAGAATTTTTTTTCTTCGTGTGTGTGTGTGTGAACGTTCATCATTGCGAATCGCGAATTAAACAAGCCTCATCTCGACTCGTATGAAGGCAGTGAAGATGTGTAGCCCACTGCTGTGCCCCGGAAAAGTTGCAAAATGAGATAAAGCAGAAAAGCAGTCGAAAGTTCTCGGGCAAAAGTGCAAAAGCGCAAGCGGCACAAAAGCAATATAGAACGAATAATGCGAAACTCTTATAATGTATTTCTTTTTCTCGTTTAGACATCTTTTCTTTTAGATACAGGCTGCGGCAGTAAATCTGCAGGCATATTAATATTTATGCTAACTGCTAAATTATTTTCGTTATTCATATTTTTTTGCTGAGAAATTTTTGCCGTCCTTGAAGTATGTATTTTTATATAAATGGGAATTATATTATGTGCGAGGCGTGCGCGCACCATGTAGCAGGTGGTTCTTTTCTTTTGAAGTATTTTAGGGAGCCGTAATGACGTTTCGGGAGTAATCCATGCATACACGAATCTTTTTCCCTTGCGCGCGCGAGCGCTACGTGCCTTCGTCCTGGCGACGCGCCGCACACACGTACATATGCATGCGCGTGCGTTCAACTTCTTTTACTTTAAAATTGGAGATTTTCTTCGTTATTTTCCTTCTCTCGCCCGGCGCAGGCTGGAAAACCGCCCTTCGTACAATTCCAACACATACGGGGTAAAAATTCTGCGTGTGTGTAGCAAAGTTATGCTTACTTTAAATTTGCGCAGAGTTCTAACAGAATACGCAACTGCGCGCAAGACTTGTGTGCCGTATATTTTTCACTACCATACATTTGGGAGGAATGTTTGTAAAATTTTGCGCATAGCTGTACGCATAGAATAGGTATGCGTCGTTTTTTCGTCGGTATTCTTAATATATGCGCGAAATCGTTCTCTCGGGCCCGGCCGGGTTCTTAGGGGATGTTATGTACACATGCGTGGATTCCTCGCGCGCCGGTTCGCTCTTAAGAGCTCGTAAAAAAGAAAATGCGTATTGATTTTCTTTTTAATTATGCGCACACATTGGAAATTGGATGATAGGGCGGGGAGAAACGACGAAGGGTAGTGGTGGTCGACGAATATATTCAGCTTTCATTCGAAGCACGGGCGCACGCACGAAAGCGTCTCGATTCATCCCGTTTTTTAAATCCCTTTTTTCCTTTAACCGGATACAGAAAATCACCCTCGGTCAATTCTAAGCGTGTTAGACTTGAGTTTAAAGTTGAATGTTTGAAGAAATTCAATCGATGAAATTATTTAATCATAGCTTTCGTTCACTTTTCACACAACATACAAGTGCTGCATAGTAAATTAAACTTTTTGATGAGTTTACAGAGGTTTTACTTGGGTTTA